CATGTTATACATTATTTCCATTCCATTATCTTGTTGTGATTTGAGGTCAATGACTCAAACTAGATATCATATCCTTGTTCACTAACATCCTTCTAATGGAAACCGTGGATTGTATTCGTGAATAATTATTGGAAAGGAAATGAGACATTGGCAGTCCGATTATGGACTTGAAGGAACTATTGCTAAACTGTACAATGAATGACAAGTTCATGTTCTACAGTAATCTGTACAGACAATTCGACGAAGTGGCTATGGGATGTCCACTGGGCCCAATATTTTCAGATATATTCGTGGCGAACTTGGAAAATGGTCCTTTGAAAGACCAAATCGCCAATACGGAGTTGTGCTGTTAAAACATGGATGATACCGTCTTAGTCTTTGATAGGTATCTACTTATTAATTCTGTTCTGAAGCATTTCAACAGCGTTCACCCATCAATTCATTGTACATTCGAAAATAAAATCAATGATTCAATACATTTTCTCGATGTGCTAATGATACGAAACAAAAATGCCTCTCACAGTGAAAAGTTTATACAGAACACTAACATCTAAGGCAGAGTATACGCACTTTCTCAGCTTCATACCGATGAAGTACAAACATAATATAATCAGGTGCCTGGTATTTGGGGTAAAATCGATTTATTCCAAGTAGTGTGTTGAAAAAATAGAGCTACTGTGTATCCGTAATATCCTAAGTGAAAACGAATAACTTCATCAAAACTGCATTGGTCCTAAACAAGAACTGATGACAAGTTGCAAAGCAAGGGAGACGCCTCAGGTGACATCCTGTCACAACGCCTAGCTAGACCAGTCAATAGGACGTTTTATGCAGGTCGGCTTTGCGTATCATTCAGTAGTCTGCCAATGCTCAATTCTATACTAAAGGATAGTCTACCCAATGTTACCTCTTCATCTTGCATATATCAAGTTAAATGTTCTTGTGGAACTGGTTAGATAGAGCGTACGGTTAGGCAGATGTGTCTGCGGATACGAGAGCATTTACCAGCTTGGTTCAGAAAGGGCTAAGTGAAGTTGGTGAAAAGTTCGGTCCAGGTGCATCTAGTCGACGCATGGCATCACATAGATGCTAATAAAGCTTTCAATGACATTCATCGTATCCCAGAAACGATACCACATGTAACACACTAACGCCTGTTCAACATAGCGGAGGTTGTCACGATGAGACTGATCAAGCCCGAACTCTGCATTCAGAAGGAACAGCAACTTAAAGACCACTGCTGCCATCTTATTTGTTATCTTTTTGTTCACCATCATACCATTCTCCTTTACATGTATCATCACAATATTATTTGTCTCTTGGGTTCCTAGTGAAACATAAGGCTTCAGCAGCACGTCGCCATTTCACTCTCTGCTCTGCAGTCCCCTTAACCTGGATTCACGACTGCCCACAAGCTTTCATTTCTTCTTCACACCATCTCCTCCATGTCACCTTCGCCTCGGGCACCCAACTCATCGTTTCCCATGCAGGTTCCACTCGACGGCCTGGTCTGGCCTGACGCGTGATGTCCCCGGATGGTCTTCTCAGTGTATGTCCAATCCAATCCACTCTCTCTCCATTTTTTTTCTTCTGCATATTTGTTGGGCGATAGGTTCTTGATTAGATTGTTGGAACGTTGCCAGCCAACCAGCCAGCCAGAGTTCCTCCTTGTTTATTCTTATTATTCCAGTCATCCATCCAATCTCCATCTTCAGTATCGAGTGAGAGTAGACGGCAGCTGTTGTTGATGTATGTGGGCAGTTTGTTGGAAATGCTTTTCGTAATGCGCCAAGTCTCTCAATCATCACATAGAAGCAAGCACTGACTTGACTGACATTAGTGGTGTTGGAAATCCGGATGTTGTTCAGTCTTTATGCCGAGTGGAGTGCAGTGAGGTGGAGTGGAGTAGATCTCCACACTGGTTTCAGATTGATGAAGGAAGGCCTGTCTTATTGTCTTTCCAATGCTGCCTTTGACGTCCTCATCTGTACCTGTGCCTGGGCTGCCTGTAGTTGAAACGATACTACCTAGGTAGGTGAAAGAGACAACTTGCTTTAGATTTCTCTTGTTGATGGTGATTGCTGCTTGTTGTTGAAAATATATTTACCCCTAACTTGATTTGGTTTCATGCTGTACAAATGCATTTTATAATTGTAGAACTTGAGGAGAATTCTATTGAAAAGAATATACTTCATTGTTCAAACTGTTGTTTTTTATCAGTAACACCAGTCATTAATGATGGGCAGTAGTCAGTACTGGAATCCAGAGTACACGTTTCGTTCTATTTGAGGCTTGTCAGCTGGATATACCTGCTTCCTAGTGAGTGTTGTTCCCACCGGGACTCGGACTCAGGAGGCATCCACACAAGAGCCCATATGCCAACAGACCGATCAATTCGGTCCAATCAACGACGGTGTCATACAAGCAATAGCACTAAAACTATACCCGTTACACAATAAGCGTCTATCGTGGCTCAGTGGTGTAGTGAATAACGCTCTGGTGTTTGAAGCGATCGCTCCCGAGTCTCGGTGGGAACAACACTCAATGGGAGGTGGGTACATCCAGCTGACCAGTGAGTTCCAAATAGAACGAAATGCGCATCCTGGATTCCACTGCTAGCTACTGCCATTCATTACTAAACACAATTAAAACACAGGCAATATCGAGGCATCCACACAGGAGCCCATATGTCAACAGAGACTGACCAATTCGGTCCAATCAACGACGGTGTAATACAAGTAATAACACTGTATAACTGAATTTTTCTGAATGGTTTTTATTATTTCAGATAAAAACAAACCGTCATTTAATCAGAGAATTTAGCATGTGATTACTTTTTATGAACTGTTTGTATCATTTCGAGTAGTATTTGACTTTCATATGATTTACCACTAGCGATAAAATAATCATAATAACAATGTGCCACAATGTATCACCTTGTGATCAAGTCGTCTACTTACATCTAAAAACAAAAACGAATCATCCTCTTTAATTTATTCTTTCTTTATTTCTTTTTTCATAAACAAGACCAAATGCCTTTTATCACTTCCGTTTTTTAATTTTCTTTCTAAACAGAAAATGTCTGTGTAACGACGATTTTATCAATAAATTAAAACCATTGGGAATGGATTAATCTCATCAAATACCTTTCATTGTTTGTTTATCCTCGTCAATCACTTCTAATGGTATGATTAAATGGTTTCAGAACGAAAAATTATGCGTGAGAAGTATACCTGAAGTCTGGTTATATTTCATAGGCATTACGTGAATGTGTGTGTGATAGTGGAATGCAGATGAATACAATGACGTGCAATTTTTTTGATAGTTAAAATTTACCTACTTATATTTTTTCAGTAGTAAAAAGTATTACAGAAACAATTATAGAATCCACCTACATATAAAGTCGTAAAGTTCACTATGTGATGATGTAGATGTTAGGTGGAGGATTTTAAATAAATAAGACAATTAAGTTGGTAAGGCTGCCCGTCTGCATTGAATGATATGGCTGACGTATGTTTTACACATAACAAGTAACTGTATGCCTCTACGTGCAATGAAAACTGAAGTAGCATCAAGTTGTGATAGGAAGCGGCCAATATAGAAATTAAAATTTTGGGCCATGAACCTCTATGCCACGAGTTTTTATTTTCTAATGTTTGCCTCATACTGCTGTGTGGTCAATAAAAACCTTATTGGACAATTTCATCCCACAGCTGACTAATAAGAATATTCATGTAAACTGCATATAAGTAATGTATTTTTCAAGTTGTTATTCATCGTAGACTGACATCAGTTGGAGGAACAAAGGAAACCTGGGAGCACTGGATAGCCGTTTCATCCTAGTATAAGACTCCTCAGCAGTAAGCATACACGACCCTACCCCGCCAGGGATGGAACCCACCACCTTCAGGTTCCATGGCCAGCACGTTACCATTGAGCCACTGGGTCGGTTGAATCAAATGGTCCATATTTACAACTTCTGTTAGCTCACGATATAGTGCAACCGCCACCCAATTTCATCATTCAGTAACTGTCCTCACGACTATCAGGCTTTGCCCCCACCGGTCACGAATAAAGTGTTTTCCATACAGTCATATATCAGTCTTTGTCTTTCAATATTTTCGTCTCCCTGTGAAGCATAAAGTGGTATTGAGAGAGAACAGTGGCTATTCGTGTCCACTGAAGCTACCTTATCGCATTATTACCGTTGGCGTATTTATTATTTGACTGGGAGTAGATCTCATCTATACTTTGTTCTCATTATGACCATATTATTCATGCTTTTTACTTCTTTACATCAGTTTTCTTCCTGTTTCCAATGGCTTTATACGACTTTTGTTGAGATCACTAATGCTTCTCTGCTTTCACTGCCTTCTGCTTTGATGCGCTGATGTGAGATATGGCAACCTGATCTTTTATACAGTAGTATCAAGTCTAATGTTTATGTTGACTGACTGATTTCTTGACCATATTAAGATGAAATAATTAACAACAGAGGGCCATTTTATGTGCTTAATGTGAGCTTACTATTAGCTGGTTATAAGTGAGTTGGCTATTTAAACAGTTCTTACTGAAAAAGCCCCAATTAGCATGATCTCTAGCTGCCTAATATAACCTAACTGCCATATTATCACTCACCTGGTGGTGGCAATCTGTGGAATCCACGAAGTGCATTTCGTCCCCTTGCAGACTCTTTGGCTAGATGTACTTTCACACCAATAGATGATAGTATTCCCACTAGGACTCGAACCGAAGCGCTATCCACTATTCCACTGAGGGATGGGAGAGACGACAGATGCCTCTGAATCCCGTTGTTAGCCACCACCAAGAAAACTTCACCGTAATGAATATCCACAAAGTATGGAGGCATATGCATAAGGATGCACCTGCCACTAGATGTCAAGCACCAAGTATAGCAACGGACAATCACAAGTATCAATTAATAAAATGCATAATTTCTGTAATTCACTAACAAACAAGTTCAACAGTTCATTACATACCAGTATATTCTTTTGTATAAGTAGTAAGGCCATTGAATGTTCCTTGTGGTGGTTGATATTCAGCTTCTCGTTTGCAGTTGCCTTGATGAACTAATGGATGCTCTACGAAATCAGTTCTATAGATCAAGAAAGTGATGAAATTGACAGTCAGTTAGATAAACATTGTTATCAATAGTATGAAAATCCATATTAGATTATACAGGGTGATACAGTATTTGTTTACTTGATAACGTTTCTCCTAGGCATATCAGTGTGTAATCACACTACTTTTGACATCTGATCTTCATTGTCCAGTCAGCTCATATTCTTTGTTGAGTGTTGATTCAATGAACAAAGATTCATTAATCAGTCACTCTATCTCCATCTGAGTATACTGGGCTTGAGAACAGTGGTTTCATCCCACCTTATCGCCAATATCTCCAATCATAGGAGATATATTTATGGATAGTTGAGAAAACATGACTTCACAAACGTTCAATCCTGCACCTAAGATATAGTGGTGATATGTGCATGACACATTTACCATTGTGTTGAAATAGGAACATATTGACAATTTGCCTCATATGTATAAACTCAGTAGTAGGTACAATTTAATTCTTTTACAAGGAGAATTACCTATGTCACATTGCACGATAAAACGAAAAACAGACGGTGATTTGGATACTACCGTCTACAGGAAACCGACACATTCTAACAGGTATCTAGACTTCAAGTCATCTCACCGAAGGTTAGTTAAGGTAGGTTTAGTCAAATGTCTAAATGACACAGCTCGAAAACTAACTAGTCAGTACAAGAACTTAAACAAGGAATTAAATCACATAAAAGAAGAGTTAATAACTGATGATTATCTTCTTCAGTTTAGTTAGAAATTCGTACAAAGACATAAGTAAGGAAACAATAACAGTAGTATGAGTACGAATAATGGTGACAGCATGAGTAGAAAGGAGTTTATAGCCTCCATTCTGTTACCCTTTAGGGAACAAACATCAGAGACGTTACGTAAACTCCTTAACAAAACTGGAATTAGTGTGGCATTCAAACCTACAACTTCACTCAGAGATAAGCTTAGTCGACTTAAAGATTCCATAGATATAACTAAACAAAATAATCTAATCTATCAAATTCCAAGCAATGCTTGTGAAGCCAAGTACATGGGTCGAACTAGCCAATTCAGCCAAGTCAGATTATCGGAACGTAGGAATTTAGCTAAATATAGACAGACTCGAATAAGATCAGTAATCTAGAAAGTTATTGCAAGGTATGCATCAACCGATAACTACACAATAGGCTGGGATAAAACCACTATACTCAATCCCAGTATACTCAGATGAAGACAGAGTGATTGATTAGTGAATCTTTGCTCATTGAATCAACACTCAACATACATGAAACAACATCTGATACCAGAGATATAGAGAATTTTATTACCAATGAGAACAAAGAATAGAAGGTGACACCATTATAAAGATCAGATGTTGAGAGTACTGTGATTACGTTCATCTGACTATGAGCAATAAGTGATTTATGCTCGAAACATCATCAAGTTAATAATACTGTAACACCCCGTATGGTGCATATCAAATATACGAATCTAACACGGAAATACATAAGCCTGAACGACTCTGTGTGTGTAGGGAGGGGGGGGGGTCATCGTTATCTCCGTAGGATTGCTCGTATCCGATGATAACACCATGTAAGTAATTCTAAGGTACTACAGAGTATGGTTGGGAATGACAGAGATCGTCGTTCAATTGGTGAAGTTATCTGGAAACACTTGGTTATGTGGCTTTGACATGCCTTATGCAAGTCTTTTCAACGGCTTCCAAACCGGTAACTGTTTGCTAATCCTTGGACTGGAACCTTAAACAAGGAATTGAAATATGTAAAAGAAGAGTTGATAATTAATAATTACCCTCTACCACTTATTAAGAAATTCGTAAGAACACACAACAAACGAAACAATAACGGTTATACGAATACAAATAATAACGACAACACAAGTTGAAAAAAGTTACTGTATACTGTATGACGAAGAAGCGTAGGATCCTCATCAAAGCTAGAATCAAGGTGGAATTCGAACCTACCAACTCACTCAAGGATAAGATTTGTCGGTTGAGGCATCCGATAGATCCAATTAAGCAAAATAATCTAATCTATAAAATATCATGTAATGACTGCGAGATCAGGTACATAGATCAAACTAGCCGATCAAGGTCACTTAGATTAACGGAACATAGAAATTTGGCTAAATAAGATCAATAATGTAGAAAAAACTCGGCCAACACAACCACACAATAGGGTGGGTTAACACTACTGTACTCAAATCCAGTATAATTAGATCCAGAGAGAGAGAGAGAAAGGGAAAGAGAATGAAAGTGATCACTGAATCTTTGTTCATCGAATCAACACAACACCCAAAACTAGAGATATGGAAAGTTTTACTACCAATAAAAACAAAGAAACTGAGGTAGGTGACAGGACTGTAAAAATCGATTATCGAAATGAGTGTGATTACTTAGTTATGATTATGAGCAGTGATCATTTTTGTTGGAAACATCAGCAAGTAAATACTACTGTATCACATCATTTTGTCCACATCAAATAAACAAATCTATTACGGGATTACATCCTACCATAATGCCCAAGTTATACACTTCTATTAATAATGTGAGATATTTAGTGGTAGGAGGGTGAATAATACTACCTGGTTGTCTAAAAGTTTTTTGATATAGACGGTTTAGACATGACTAAGTGTCTAAGTCACTGAATCAGAGGTAGTATTCATCAGTTAGAGAGCCACTGAAAACTCAGAGGTACCGGACACCTGTTCCGTCCGAGTATACGACTATTCCTCAGTACGTAGCCATGACCTCTCCCTATTAGGGATAGAACTCATAAACTTAACGTATTATGGCTAACATGTTCTCCAGTCAACCGTGAGTCAAGGTTCAATGGTCCATAATTTCTTGCTTCTGTTAAATTGTGATATAGAGCAACTATTCATCGTCTTCAGCTGGCATCCATGATTTGATATAAACAAGAAACTGTAAATCACTGAACTGTAACCCAGTGGTTGAGTGGTTATCACGTTCTCCACAAAATATGAGGGTCTGGTGGATGATCCCTGGTGGGGTGATGGGTGCAGATCGCCGAGTAGTCCCAATATTCAGACGAAACAGCTATCCAATGCTCCAAGATTTCGTATGGTTCTCCATTTGATATCAGTCCATGATGAGTAATACCTTGAAATAATTTGTAATACTCCTCGACGCTTCGGTTGCTATCCAATGAATTCCCAAAGAAGTCCCAAAGGTGACTGTCAAATTGCAATCTTTAAGCAGAGACTTAACGCTGCTGTTAGAAGGACTTACCATGCAGCCACGGTTCGGTTAACAGAAACCGCCAAACCTGCATGTTCACCCAAACCCTCACAGCATGTGAACGAAAATTTCACATCCCACTGTATCTACCAATTCAAATGTACGTGTGGTGACACATACATAGGGAGGACTAGTAGATCCATGCAAGTAAGGGCCTCGGAACATGTTCCAAATTAGCTTCAGAAGAAAATTAAATCACCTGAACCCATAAACGTCGGTAAGACACGTCCTTGTTGAGATAGGTCACAGGATTGATGTAGCTACTTCCTTTACACCTATATACAAAACGTGTCAGGGACGAATCCTTAAATTTGTCGAGGCCTTAACTACTAGGAAGTTTAAACCAACTCTGTGTATCTGAGGATAATTTGTTATCATATTTAATCTCCTTTGATGAATTCAACTATGAAAGCATGTTCGATGTACTAACATTTTTACTCTACTGATTTTCATTGTTATTCGACTTGTAATTCAGCCTTCCTACTTGATCTCTTTTCATTTTCTCACCTCTTATCTTCATGAATTTTTATATAGATACCTGTAACAAGTAGGTGTGTAATCAGATAGTTCGAAATGTGTTACGTAAATACATTACACAGTTCAGACAATTTAAGTCTTCTTATTGTTTTGTCGAATTCTTAAATCGTTTACTGTCGAAAGTATTGCCATTGTTGTTAGGTTGTTGGATAGTAATTCATTATTAGAACTTTTTTTAACTCATGCAATTCATCATATCACTTGCCAGTATCGAAAGTTACTATTTTCTAGTTAGTCAAATCCTCATAACTATCGCTTTGATTTACACCGTATGACAAGAAACCTTTAAATCGAAATTCAAATGAAATATGGCCTATATTTCAGAAGCTATTCTTTCTGATTTTATCCCGAAGCAACCGCGACATTAGCTGGTAAAGTGAAGGAAAGTTTGTAGTTCATGCTTAGGATTGTTGGTATGCTATTTGATTGTTCTAAAGCTGGATAGAGAAAACCTACACTATCGACACTGGAATACTATGGACTAGAGAGGTGTGCTATTTTTCAGGCTGACCTATGAGTGACTAGGAAACACCTTACTAGCAAGACAGCAACAACGTAGTGCTGCTAGTTATTCCAGGTGAAACAACTTACTGCCATCATAGTATAGCAATTCATATTACTATTATAACAGTTTTCCATCTTACCACTTTCCAACAGACGTTTCTGGCATGATAAGACCTCCAGAGGATAATTGACTCAGGAGATCTTTCATCCTAGTGCCTATCTCATGAACAAACACTAATAATTCACAATCAATAGACCCTTTAAAAGTTTAACAAGAGATTTTTAGGAAAATGGAGTAGATTTTATTGATATTAAACTATGATCTCCCCAACAAAGATCACAGAGAACTGAGCATACGTCAGCTGATCTTAGCTTTGCCAAATATAAAAAGTTACATATCCAGAGGTTAGTGGGGATTTCATGCTTAAGGTAGTATTTACCACAGGCTGATATCAGCTGGAGAAGCATTGAAAAACTGAGAGCACTGGACAGCTGTTGCTTCATAGTGCAAGACTCCTCATCAATATGCATCCACAACCCAGCCTTCTAGGGATTCGACCCATGACCTTCAGGTTTCGTGGCCAACGTAGACAATACAGATCGTCACAAATAGGCATGGAAAATAAGCACCACTTATTTATGTTATGCTGTACGCGGTTGAGAGGGAAGAATAGTATGACTCATAGTGTAGGTAAACTCAGACTGGCCAAGTGTATAACAAGACCATGTTCAAACTGAATCGGCAAAATCATATGCTTAAGACAACGGCGACTAAGCAGGATTATAACACATTCATTGCTCATTAGTTTTCTGTTTTTAAGCGTTACTATAATTTAAAATTAAATGTCTCGGGTTTTGTCAGTTCTACAACGAAGTATGTTTTTGATTAAGAGACCAAAGTTTTTACTGAGATCTTATTTTGCTTACATCCGTGTACAGAGTTCATATCTTCAGTTCATATCTTCGATTGGAGTATATCTACACATGAACATTTAAGATTTGTATTCACCACAATCTGACATCATTTAGAGAAACATTAGAAATCTAAGAGAACTGGACAACTGTTTTGTCCTAGTATAGGACACTTCATGACATAGCGCAACCTCCATCTAATAATGTTGAATAACTGTCCTTTTATCCAAATCGGTTGAACCCGTTGGTTACCACTTGTCATTGGAACTCCAGGAATCATCTCTCGAAGGTAGTTACCAATAAGCATTAGGTTAATTCAATTTAGAGATTTGTAGGGGATATATTTATGGATTTCATGTTGCTTTACATTCATGTAGCCATCCTTTGAAGTCATTCATTACAGACAAGCGATAAAACAATAACACAAGAAGTTAATAAATAAAGGTATATGTATACACTTACCGATGTGTAGTGTTTGAAGACATAGGACCTTCTGCCTGTACACCTCGATGTGGTGGCTTACATGAGTCAACTGGTACAAGTTTATGAGCAATATACTTTGTAGTATATTCTGATATTCCACATGGTTTGGTTATCTCACTTTTACGTCGTTGATGTGGACATTTATGTCGACTGAAAGAGAGATAGATAGATGATTGAATGAAGGTAAATAGTCAATTGGGAAATATAGGAGAGTAAAACTTTGGCACTATGATAGAATATAGTTCAATTTTAGTTGATTTATTAGATGTATCACACAGTAGAATGATGTTATTTACTGGATGTGTTTACTTTTTGGATACAATTTATTGTCCATGATCATTTCGAAATATAAGTGAAAAACTTGGGCACTGTGGTAGAATGTAGTTTCATATTAGATTTGTTTATTTGATATAAAGCGCACAGTGATACAGTATTATTTAATTGATTACGTTTCGAGCATAAATTATTACTGCTCATAATCATATCAATGTAATCACACTTCTTTCGACATCTGATTTTATAGTCCTGTCACCTGATCTCTCTTTGTTTTTTTGTTTTTTGATTGGTAGTAAAGTTTTCCATATCTCTGGTATAGGTGTTGCGTCATTCCTATTACATGTGTTGGGTGTGAATTCGATGAACAAAGATTCAGTAATTAATCTCTCTCTCCACCTAGCTATATTAGACTTAAGTACAGTGGTTTTGTCCCATCCTATTGTGTGGTTGTGTGTTAATGAATGTAATGCAATGGCTGAGTGTTTTTCTAGGTTATTGATCTTATTGGGGTCTGCCGTTCTATGTTTAGCTAAATTCCTATGTTCTGTTAATCTAACTGACCCCGACCGGCTAGTTTGACCTATGTATTTGACTTCACAGTCATTACATGGAATTTGGTAGATTATATTATTTTGCTTAATTGGTTCTATCGGATCTTTTAGCCGACAAAGCTTACCTCTAAGTGAGTTTGTTGGTTTAAATGCCACCCTAATTCCAACCTTGTTGAGAATCCTACGTATGGTTTCTGATGTTCCTTCCTTGTATGGTATCACAATAGAGGTGTTGATTTCCTTTCTACTTATGTTGTCACTATTATTTGTATTTGTATTAGTGTTATTATTTTGCTTCTTATGCGTCCGTGTGAATTTCTTAATAAAATGATGGGGATAATTATTAGTTATTAACGCTTCTTTTATGTGTTTCAATTCCTTATTTAAGTCCTTACAATGACTAGTGAGTTTCTCAGCTCTGTTATTTAGACATTTGACTAAACCCGCTTTAACTGACACTGGATGAGATGACTTGAAGTCTAGATATCTGTTAGAATGTGTTGGTTTTCTGTAGACGGTAGTATCTAAACCACCATCTATCCTTCGTTTTATTCTGCAATCCAACATAGGTAATTCTCCTTGTTCATTTTCTACTTCGAAGTGGATACAATTTATTATCCATGATCATTTCGAAATAACTATACAACTTTGAGACCTGATTTGTTTACTTCTAATTCTCTCACCTCCTTCGTGATATAACTTAAATTAGGATGTTTCATTTATCCAGAACATGTGTTGACTTATTCCTGTTGCATATGTTAAGTGTTGTTTCGATAAACAATGATTCGGTTACTAATCTCTTCCTTCATCCAAGTAAATTAGTTTTTAGATATAAGTTATATTCAGACAAATAAGAAATTCCAACAGGCTAAGATTTGTTCAAATATAACTTATATCTCATGTCAACTTTTCACTCGATGCTCAATATTTATGAAATTATTCAGTCAAATCTTGATAAGGATTCATATAAGTTAGTTTTTGATACTATCGCTCTACCCCCAACGTATTGTGTTGTTGTGGGCAGTTGCGTACATAGCTATGGCTGATTTTTTTACACACCCTTCATCTTACTGGGATCTACCAATTGTGACCTAGATAGGCTTTTGTCATTGGATAGCCCAACTAACCCTGGTTGGTCGACTACTTTGACTTATGTATTTGACCTCACAATCGTTGTAAGGGATTCGGTAAACTAAATTATTCTGTCTAACTGGATCAGTAGGATCTTCCAACCTATAAAGCTTATTTGTAAATGATTTTGTAGGTTCAAATGCCTCTCTAGTCCAAACCAGCCTTGCTGAGAATCCTACGTGATGTTTGTGAGTTGCTTACTTTGTGTGGTAATTACTGTAAAGGTTTTGAATTCTCTCTCTGAATTAGATAATGATAATAAGTAAAAAACGGCAACTTACCTGGCTGGTTGTATGCGGAATCCAGCACGTGAATTTTGTCTCATTTAGGACTAGTCAGCTGGATGTAACTGTACCCCAGTGAATGATGTGGAGAGACAGGTACATCCAACTGAATAGTCCCGAATTGGACAAAACGCATGTCCTAGATTCCTGTCCTAGGTACAACTAACCAAGCAAATTACCACAAATAACATTTAGCCAATATCAAGGCATCCGCATAGCAGCCCATATATCACTAGAGATTGAACAATTCGATCCAGTAAAACAATGGAGAAATACAAGCATATCAACAAATAGTAATGAAAAAAGGTAACAATAATGAATCAACTCAAATGGAGTAATATTCTACTGCATTGCTGAAGTTTTACTCTGATATTCATGAAACATTTGTTCTTCATACTCCGAAAATAGTCAATGACTTTCATAGATAGAAGTCAGATTTACAAACCATCGTGTATTTAACATACGATGTCTTAAAAATTAAATCACTCCAAGATATCTGAGTCTACGTGCATCAATTTCAACAAACAATATGAAAGCAACAATATAGCTTATCAGTGGACATTGTGTAAAAGAGGAAATTCATTGACTAGTCAATAAGTTACACAGCATTTGTAATACTATTAAAGAACTAAAATGTAAAGTAGTGTAAACACTTAGTAAAAAAGATTATGAACTTCGAAAAAGCTAGATTGGTAGAATTCAGTCAGAGCTGAAGACCAAACGCTATGAGATTGGTTGCTCTCCAGTCACCAACCTATTGAATTTACTAAACTGTCTAGCAGATGACTTCTTTTGAATCCTTTTTCGTTTTACAACAACCATAGGATCTTCCTTCAAATTGCCGTTGTTGATTGGATGGACTTCATCAACCACTCTCAGTATGTGGCCTCCTCTGAGTAGGACTCAATATTGCCGGCATTTTTAGTTTTTAGTATCAGTGATGAAGAGCGGCTAGGAGTGGAATCCAGGACGCATGGTTTCATCTTGTTTGAGTCTTGTCAGTTGGGTGTACCTGCTTGTTTACCTGAGACAGGAACATGAACATCGAATGTGCTTTGAGGGTTAGAAATCAAAGCTTAACCAAGAGACTCTGTTAGTCATTTTGGATAGTGATGAGGTAAGCTTGAACAAATTGAAAATGTCAGCGGAACAAAAATAGGAGGATTCATAAAGATGGAGTTAGCTGTCATAAAATTTAGCGTTGAAGATCAAATTTAAATTACTTTAGAAGGCACCTTAGCAACTGATCATATAACCAATCACTTTTCTCTATTCTATGAAAAACTACTTTCCCAGCGAAATTTTCTAATGCCAACTAATTATTTCTACAGTTGCTAGAATGAATTTTTAAATCATTTCGCTTCTTATCTTTCATAAACTAAAGTTGAACGCTTCATTATTACAGTTACTAAAAGAAAACTTTAGGTTATACTCTCCAAGCATCTTGAATGTAAACCATTCACCACACTATCTGATTCAGCAATAACATACTTTACTCAACACTACAAAAGATATAGTCTGATGTGATTCGAATATCTTCCTAATGCATCAGTTGCACCAAAAATGAATATCAAATACAGACTGAAGTAGAAATGTGTTGAAAGAGAAAAACCTTGATGCGGTCAACAAAGTAAGTCATTTTAGGGATATTTACAGAACTTCGGGCAATTTAGAGCCTTATAAATTTGTCCTATGTGTTCTCAAACGTAAAGGAGTTGAAGATGCATATTTCGTCCTGTTTGGGACTCGTCAGCGTTTGAAGTGATAAGTTCTAAGTTTGAATGTCAGTGGGTGAGACAGCATCACTCAGTGAGGTGCAGGCACTTCCAACTGAAAGGTCCGAAACAAGACGAGACGCACATCATGGACTCCACTGCTAGTCACTAAGGTGAATACAACACAATGAACATTAATGGAAATCAGTTGACAGTATCTTCTGACAACGTTGGTATCTATAGTCAACAGAGTAGTATTCTTTACTACAAGAATCAATTAACTCCAAATGGCTTTCAGTCATTCACTGACCTCTATAATATAATGCTGGATGGTGACTGAAAATGAAATGGAAATCTGAGTTGTTGTAGGATGTGAATCGGTTTATTGACGCGACGCTCTACCAATTAGGCTATGAGATGCAGCCGCTTAACAGCAATTCAGTTTAGTAGCTCAGTTGACAGATCATCAGGTACATAACTTGGGGGTTATTGGCTTCCATTTCATCACCCAGTATCCACTTCACCAGTCTACCAAACTATGACTATCACCAGTATTTTGTAACTGGTTTTCCCAATTACACAGACACGAAAAATTCCTTTATCCAACAGTTTACTATATTTACCAGATGTTTTAACACTTCCATTGACAATCCTCATATTAATTCACTTGTAATGTAATAAGGAATATGAATTTCTCATTCGAATCAGTTTATCTTGAGAAAAGGAATCGTCTATAAGCAACTGTTTGCTTAGTTGCCTTTCTGACACCTAAACGTATTGAATATTGTAGGTATATGAGTATAGTTGGTATTTGAGTCAGATCCTGTCATCTAGATTCCTCAGAGAAGCATGAGAATTTCTCGAAAACCCTCCATAACTAATCATGGTATGTTGAACATTCATGAAAAGCCATGTGATCATAGGGATGGGTCTCAAATTGGCTGAAATGCTTTCTAGATAATTGTTGAACATACCAAGACCATCAAAAAAGCATACAAACCATCACTATTTGTATATATTCAACTTGAAAATAAACCCTCCTATCATTTCTTCCAGTTCTTTATCTTTTCAAGGAACCCAGTGATCATAAGGTCATTGTTCAAGATTTCACCCATATATATATATATATATATATATATATATATATCCCTAGAAAGACTGACATCATCGATCTCATTAAAGTACCTATCTTT